CTTCAAAATCTAAGGTCATTAACAGTACCGCGTACTTAGAAGATATGCTTAGAATTGTAGGCGTAAATGTGTGCGTGTGTATGTGTAGGTTAGTATATTTTACGGTCATATTATTTTAGTTTGATTCTCTAAAATTTGAATGGACGTACTTGTTCGTGTCTGGCAATGTAATAACTCGTTTTATTAGCATCCATGCTTTTGCAGCGCCAATTTTTGGAATAAAATGTGCGGCTAACTTTCTTCCCTGAAAAAGTATTTAAAAAAATTAAGAGTATTAAAAAAAACTTAAAAAGTGTAAAAAAAATATGAATAAACTTAAAAAGTCAAAACTAAGCAATTATCCCTTAAAGATAAGGGTTTTAAATCGGTGAGGAGTGACTGAACTTCGGGCAAAATGAAGAAACTACAGGGGAAGCAAGCATGTTTGGTGTAACAGCCCCCAAATGACCTAGATTCGGCCAAAACAATTAACAAAGGTTGCCAAATGCTCTGATCGCAAAAAAATCTTTTATAGTTAAAGAAAAACTGACCAGAGCATTGAAGTACTCTGCTCGAAGACGAATTAAAAGCCAACTGATTGCTAAAGCTTACAAAGGCTGTTATTCCTAAAGAACTAAATACAGAGAAAACTATCGCGATTTTGAAACTTTGTGGCTGGACTGGTGTGCGTGCCCCGAGTGTGTGTTTGTGTGTGTGTGTATGTGTGTGTGTGTGTGTGTGTGTGTGGCGGAGTGTGTGGTGGAGTGTGTGGTGGAGCGCGTATGTAGCCAACATCTACAGAAAGCTATATATTTATAATTATATACGAGGAACTATAGTTATACTAAGCATTTGAAATGCGAAGGAGAATAACAAATAAAAGCCGAAGCTCCCAAAAACAGGGTGGTGTGGTGCAACTGCGACTCTGTGTGCCAGAGATGAGGAGGAGTGCTTTTATGCCCCGATGGTCGCAGATTACAAAGACTGCATAACTCTAACCAGGGAAGGGTATCCAAAGATTGAACCGTGGACCAGGAGTGTTGCATCATAGTAATGCAATTGCTCCTTACGCAGTTTTTAACAAAAACCAATAAATCATTATGTGACAAAACAAACTGTAGGACAAGCAATGAAAGAGGGCTGGTAGAGCGCGCGTCGAAGTTCATTAACCGAGCACTGCTGCAGGACGTCGTCACGATCCGAACAAAGACGCTTTAAAAGTTGCTTCTGAAAATTTTGTAATTCATCGTAAGGTTATGCAAAAGTAAACAGAGAAAGTGAAATTACTGATGAAAATTAAAAAAATACCTTACCCTGAATACTTTGAACAGCTGTTGTTTCATCGATCAGAGACAGCAAATAAAAAATGCTAACAAACGGGGTTTTTAAATACCAGAATATCTTTTGCGAGACAGTGCAATAAATACAAGTTAACTTTTCTTTTCATAAATTAATTCCGAATTTTTCCCCCTATTTGCTTCAACAATAGACTGAATTTTTTTTTTGTCCTTATTAGGTTGAATTTTTTCTTTTTTTCCTGTTCGTTTCAAAAATTAATTTCTCAAAGTTAAGTGAATTTGATTTAAATTATTTCACTCGCAAAGGTACATTTGCTTTCATTTCAATTAATTTTCCAGTGGCCAAGTTTGACAGATGACAGAACTGTGCTTGTCCTACTGCCAGCCAGTGGTTATCGAGCGTCAGGTACTGTTAGTCTCGGGAAAACCATTCTTCTCTATCTTTGGAGAGGCGACACACATAACAGAGATATTATTTATGAAAAATATAAAAATAAAATATAAAGTATTACTTATAAAAAAAAATAAAATATATTCCACTTCGTTTTTCTTCCCTTCATCATTTTTTCTACTTCATCATTTTCTCTTTATCCCTTAATAAAATAAAAATATAAAAACACACGATAAAAAAAAATAAAAATATAAAGTAAGAGATAAAAATACAAAATAAAAATATAAAATAGCTTTTTGAAAAATATAAAATAATAAATAGCAAGCGCACCAGACTAGCCGGTGCGATCATGCGTTTTGTGCAATTCAGCCCATCGAAAGATTGTCTATTAATGACTTTCATTGCTTTGTACTTCAGTCTATGCAAAATAGTTCAAACATTGGAAAATAGCTAAAAATTTTACGAATCTGCGCATGAAGGCTGAATTCGAACCGTTGAAGGGAGAATATCGGTGAATATCTTTCCGTGAATATCTTTCCTGAATTAATAGTTTATCTGCCAAAATTTTCACGATGCCGTGGGTGATACCCGAGAGCGCGAAAATGCTGAATTTGAATAGGCAAGGTTGAGCGTGGGCAGGGGGGTCATTACCCAAATTTCAGCTTCCTAGACTCCGTGGTTCCTTAGATAATTTACCCGTCAAAAATTTCCACGGAGCTGTGCTTGTTACCCGCGGGTACAGGAAGGCTGAATTTGAGCTTTCTGCGTCGCACGTGGTCAGGGGACATACCTATAAAATTTTAGCTTCTTAGCTTCCGTAGTTCCCGAGATACTGATTTTACCCGAAAAACTTTTACGGGGCCGTACGTGTTACCCGCCGGTACAGGAAGATTGAATTTAAACTTGCCGCGTCACCCGCTAGCGGGAACGCTATACCAAAATTTCAGCAGCCTAGCTTTTGTGGTTCCCGAGTTGAAAGTGCGGGACAAAATGTGGAACACACACAGACAACCCCGTGACAATATGCGTTTTGTACTGCTGTTACACAGCACAAAACGCATAAAAACTAGAAGAACAGGAATGTTTCTTTCTATTAAGTCCTATGAATTCCTACTCGACAAAACAATTGACAGCAGCTGGATACAA